ACCCACAGAGGTCCCTTCCAATCCCTACCATTCTGCGATTAGATGATGGACACCCTCCGCATTTTTGCTGACTGCAGGGTGAACAGGGCAAATCCTGCGAGGCAAGAGGAAAGACTGTGGTTTAATGCAGAGATAGGTGAGCTGGTCTGTCGATCTGTCTTTTTCTGAACTGCTCTGAGTCTGCACCCAGGTGGAGTGATGGAGAGATGGAGGCACTACTGACAACAGAGACCACTAAATGTCTCACACATTCTAGGGGTCTCAGCGCACCACTTGTAGCCAAGAACACACATGGCTTATTTCACCAGCCCAACAGTATGTCCTTGGTTGTATTATCTCTGTGCTTTTCCATGGGGCTTTAACATAAAACAGAGGTGCTATGGGTCATATTTGCTTCCTGGAGGGCAGCTGAAAACTTGGAAGGACACCCCAGGGAGCTAGCCAATTGTCCTAATGATGGTATCTCATTTAGAGAAAATTAACTCAGTCCCCAGCCCCAGCGTTTGCCACAGCCCCACAGGTTCGAGGGTAGGTGGGACACTTGTTCCCATGGACACATCTGCAGGAATGGAGAAATGAGCTCAGAGTTTGACTCTGCAGCTGAGACTCCCATCCCCAGAGAGTGCGACAGCAACAAAGAGATAAATTGAAAAGAGACAGGAGGAGAAACAAGGAAAAATAGAGCGAGGATCTGGCTGAAAGTGTCAAGGTGAGAGGCAGCTGGGCACTCAGGGAAGCGTTACCCGTACCCAGCTGTGCACACCACCTCCCAGACAGTGATAACGCAGGACAGCTGCCCTCAGCCCCTTACTGGTCAGTGGGATATGGGCACATGGCAGGAGGGATGTCCTTCACTTCTGCTGAGCTGCTGTACAGAGAGGTGACTCCCATCCTAGACCCCATGGCCGTGAGGGCTGCGGGCTGCGATGTGTAGGAGAGGAGAGAGGCAGGGGGTTGCTCAGGGAAGGCATCTGCACTGCAGGGCTGGCCAGGAGGTGCCCAATATCTCCCCTGCAACAGGATTTTTCCATGAGCAGTTCCCTCCCTTCCTGCCCATCTCCACTGCCTGGAGCTGTCCCTGTCAGGAGCTCTTGCTCTGGCCCCACATCTCTGCCCTGCCAGTGCTCACAGACCCCAGCCCAGCCCCTGTGTGCCCAGCTCTGCCCTGCAGCCTCTCCATGTGTGCAGGGACTAAAGGGCAGCTCACACAAACCCTGATGAAACTGGCCAGGGGATGCTGGTGCTGTCTCTAGTTCCCACAGCTGGAAAGTGAAAATGCAGACTCAGGAAAGCTTCTCCTCTCTACAGTCATCCCTCCTTCAACTTTCCAAATGAAAAGTGCCCTTAGAAATCTCCCACTGTGCATGCAGCAAAGCAAGATGAGAAACCTCAACTGAGCATCACCTTCTCTTTCAGGGAGGTCTATCTGCAA